TGTGTGGAGTGTGTGTCCAGGGGCTTGAACTCAGGGCCTGGGCGCTGTCCTTGAGCTGGTTTTGCTCAAGGCTTGTAGTCTCTACCATTTGGGCCACAGTTCTATCTCTCGCTTTTTTGCAGGTTAATTGGAGGTAAGCATCTCACAAACTTTCCTGCCCCGGCTGGCTTTGAACCACGATTCTTAGACCTCAGTCTCTTGAGTAGTTAGGATTACATGTTCACCTCTAATATTTCTTAATTCCTCCCCTCTTCAAATCCTACATATGTATAGATGTTGATGTGATCCTTTGTGAGCTTTTTAGTGAAACCTATGTTTCATTATGTTTTGAAGGTACAAATAAACAACCCAGTTAATCTGGATAAACACCGACAGGTATTGTTTCATTTACTAAGCAGAACTGTCTACAGTACCCGAACTCATATGTATGTGTTGTCTTTCTACACAGATGATAAACAAATGAAATGAATGCAGGCCATTTAGGACATCTCTAGGAGGTGTTTACAGAATTCAGTCAAATCATTCCTGGTGAAACAATGAGGTAGGTTTAATTTTGGGGGGAAATACATTTTTGACTATTCATCAGGTCCACAGAATTAAGCTCTTAAAAATTCTTTATGGCTGGTGGGCACTAGTGGCTCATGTCTGTAATCTTAGCTACTCAGTAGGCTCAAATCTGAGGAGCCAGGTTCAAGGCCAGCTTGGGCAGAAGAGTCTGGGAGACTCTTATCCTCAAGTAACCACCAAAAAGCTGGTTGTGAAGCTGTGGCTTGAGTGACAGAGTGCTAGTCTCGAGTAAAAGAGCTTCGGGAATGTGCCCAGGCCTGGAGATCAAGCCTTGGTACTGGCACACACGAAAAATCCTTCATGGTGATCTAAAACATTTATTAGAAAATTTCAGCATGGAGAAATAATTCAGTTTTCATAAATAGTGATTGTCTTGAGAGCAAATGTAGCATAAACTCAGTTTCCTTAACAGCCTGTTTGGAGATGAGGGTTCCCTGAAAGTCTTTGTTTTGTTATTTAATTTCTATTATTTCAAGTCTATGCTTTAATGGCTCATTGAATGGCTTATAGATTTTACTGTGACATCTCACTGACTTCACTTGTTCTGAATCTTATCAATGTCCAAATAAAGTAAATCATATATTTAACAGCCACCAAAAAATATACACAAAACCCCAACCATTTATGGGATTTTATTCTTAGTGGCTTCAGGTGTGAGTTACATAATTCTACTTTGTTATTCATGATCTAGAGGTAGTAAAATCTAGTAATTAAGAGTGTAAACCTTAGCGATAGTTAAACAGGAGTGCAATCCCTAGGCTTAAACTTCCTAGCTGTAAGATTCTCAGCAATTTAATTAGGCTTTGAATCTCTGAAATGTCACTTCCTAAGTGAGGCATATTTTGTTGCCAGCTGGATGACTGCCCCAGGAGTTAAAAGCATTAAATGAGATAATGCAAATAAAGCATAGGGCATATAATAGTGTCTGGGATGTTGGTTTGTTCACTGCTGTATTGATAGCATTTGGAATGGTGCCATATATCTATAAGGCACTCAGTAACTACTGGACAAATGAAAAAAAAGTAAATAGAAGCAATCGCTTTTGTTTGTTTGTTTGTTTGTTTATACCATTCTAGGGCTTGCATTCGGGGCCTGGGTGCTATCTCTAAGCTTTGTTGCTCAAGGCAAGGGCTCTACTACTTCGAGCCACAGTGCCACTTCCAGTTTGTTCTGGTGGATGATTGGAGATAAGAGTCTCACTGACTTTCCTGGTTGGTGGTTGGATGGCTTTGAACTGTGGTCCGCAGACCTCAATCTCCTGAGTAGCTAAGGTTACAGGTGTGTGCCATTGGTGCCCGGCTATGAGTCCCATTTTTTCTAATGATTTTCTCCTTGTTTCTGCTTTCCATTTCCTAAGTGTTTCTGAGGCTCAGCCTAGGAGTGAAAGGCTTTTCTTGTATGATAGCTTTCCCATCTTTTCACTGGAGAGTTCTTTCAGTTACTACCAATGAGCATAGGCATATTTTGAGGCCAGTAGTTCAAGTCAGGGGATCTTACTCTGAATGTAGAGCATGACATCCTGTTTCACCAAGGCACATGGTACTCTTAAAGGTGGGGACACCCCAAAAAGAAAGGGAGGTAACGACTTCAGACATGAGAGCCTTAGAATTGCATTCCATGAAAACAGAAAAAAAAGATACACAATTAGAAAGGTATTAACAACTAAAATATATACTCATGGCTGACTAATACACATGAATGTATATATATATGTATGTATGTATGTATCTATGTATGTATTTAGGTCAGTTATTGGGCTTGAACTCAGGGCCCTGGATGCTGCCCCTGAGCTCAAGGCTAGCGATCTACCACTTTGAGCCACAGCTCCAATTCCAGTTTTTGAGTGGTTAATTGGATATAAGAGTCTCATGGGGACTTTTCTGTCCACACTGGTTTTGAACCATCATCCTCAGATACCAGCCTCTTGAGTACCTAGGACTACAGGTGTGAGTCACCATTACTCAGATTACAGGTTTATTCATACATATTGGACTGCTGTATAAGTAAACACACAAAAAGACATATGCATATTTATATACAATGTGCAAAAATGAATCTCTATGAAGAAAACCCTTTGGACAATTAACAGGCCATTTAGGAAGGTGATATTACTGACTGAGTGCTGGTGGTTCATGCCTGTAATCCTAGCTACTCAGGAAGCTGAGATCTGTAGATTGGGATTCAAAGTCAGACTGGGCAGGAAAAGTCTGTGAGACTCTTATTTCCAGTTAGCTACCAACATGCCAGAAAAGGAGCCATGGCTCTAGTGGAAGAACATTAGCTTTGAGCAAAAAAACTCAGCAACAGTGCTGAGGTCCTGAGTTCAAACCCCACAACTGGTGCACATGTGCACGCACATACATACGCACGCGCGCGCGCACACACACACACACACACAAAAGCACTGGACACATACATGTTAAATTGTACAACCTTTTGAAGTTTAGAAAATAATAAGCAAATAAACATGATGGAAAATAAAAAATGAAATAATAAAAATGTATGAGAGCAGTTTTTTTTTTCTCTTGGTCGTGGGGCTTGAACTCTTGGTCTGGGGGCTATCCCTGAGCTCTTCAGCTAAAGTTAAGTGTTCTACCACTTGAGCCCCAGCACCACTATCTGTTTTCTGGTGGTTAATTGGAGACAAGAGACTCACAGACTTTGCTGGCTTTGAACCTTGATCCTCAGATCTCAGCCTCCTGAGTAGCTAGGATGATAGGTGTGAGCCACCAGCACCCAGCTGAAAGCAATGTTTTTGAATCAGCATGTGGCTGAAAGCAATTTTTTTTAAACTTCTCAGAACATATCACATACTTATTGGCTGAAACAAAGAAAGTTGGTCATGTTTGGTCTCATCTTGTAAAGATCCTAACTCAAAGACAACA